AGAAAGCTGACTCAATATTTTCTGATATTTTGGTTGATCAGGGTATATTCTGCTGTAGATTTTGGATTGCTTCCCTTACTGGACCAACACAGCTACCTCTGCTTTTTTGTATTTCCTTATCTGGTATCCAGAGGAAATGTTAATATAGATTATTAAGGAACCATAGCATCAGAGGTTTGATCTACTTTAGTAAGCTACCATGGACTGAGAGTGTTCATACCATGGACTCATGATCTACAAACACTGTAAAGTCTCAGGATGGTATGGGACTGGTATAAATGTCAGACAAAGGGTTCCCAAACTGTGGCCCTTTTCATTCATGTGGTCTGACATGGGCCTGTGGCTATGTGGTTGAAGAAAAGCAAGACAAATCCATCTCATTAAATATTATTATTGACTTTAAATTGTATTTCAATTGTTTATTTTATTTCTTATATTGACTTTTATAGCATTGCAATTTGAATTCTAAAAATACAATAAAAAGTTATAAGAAATAAAAAAGCAATAAAAATACAATTAAAGACCACACAGCTTCTTACAATTGCTACAAATACGCAGAAAAATCATTAGGGGATCTTCTAAGTACCTCAGCAATTTTCAGGTAGTGGGGGGAAATTTTCCATAGGGGGAAAGTTTGGAAATCGCAATACTGGGCATCTTGATTTCCTTTGCCTGGTTAACAGATCCAGTTCCTTCTGCTTGCAGCACTTTGGGCTCCTGCTTCGACCTCAATCCACTGGTTGGAGGGATCTAGCAGGTGAAAGGCCCCTAAATTGTCCCTGAAAGCTACAATGATGTTGTAGAGATCGTCTGTGTTGTACCAGCACAAGATGTCTGACTAGAAGTCAGCGAAAGTAAAACAAGCAGAGAAATCCCCAATTCAAATATTTGTGGCAGCCTTAGTCAGTTAATGGGGGTGGCAGGGCAAATGTAGGGACATATTTACTCAAATCCACAGGCCTTCTGATCAACCCCTCCACAAGTTTTATGTCTCCTGGCCTTCTTACTGTTAAATAGACACACATGGGTTTACTCTATAAGGGAAAGACCCAAAAAGTAAGGGAACTGGGTCACCTCTTTCCCCAGTTATTTGTCTACTGGGGTGTGGGGTGCTAGACTTCATGAACATTCAGATATGGAATGTGTAGCAGGGAGTGCCTGGCGCTGTCCAGGAATTTGTAGAAACCCCCAAATATTGCAATTTCCGAGTAACTTGCCAAAAATTGGGTGAAGTCATGCCGAAGTCATATTTTGGTGTGTCATCTTGATTCAAAATGGTTTTTGGCGTCCAGACATTGGTGAAGATGGCTGCCTCCCACCTCAGGGAACCCTCACACCAAGTTTGGCAATGATATATTGAGGGCTGGCTGAACCTATGTCTCCCAATGGATGAAGTCAAGTCAAAATCATCTTGATTCAAAATGGTGACTGGAACTTGAACATGGAAGAAGACCACTGGCCCCACCTGGGGAACCTTCAAGCCAAATTTGGCGATGACATTTTGAGAAGTGTCCAAACCCTCAGAGAACAGGCAGGCAAACAATTCCCCCAAATATAAAGTAGATCAAAGCAAACAGAAAGGAAGACTGAACCAACAGGGAGTGGAGGACCATAGGAGTCTGCTCAGACCCTAAGATCCCCCATGGAGGCCATGCTTACAAAGCTGGCAGTGGGTATAATTAGTCTGGCACAAACATGAGGCAGGGCCTTTTCCTTGATAGGTCCTTGACCAGGAAATGCATTCAGCTCCATACCTATTTTATTTTAGGCAGGCCCCAAAGACATATCTTTTCCAATCTCCCTTTGGTTAGATAGTTGCTGTGGATTTGAATTTGGTTTTCTTACATTTATGATGCAGACTGTTTTGTGTTACTTTGTTTTTATGGCTTCCTTATAGTTTTCCAGTTTTAAAAATGTCTTATATGTTTTTGGTGAAGTTACTTTATTGTGTTTTGTTATAATTTTTTTTTATTGTGAATTGCTTTATGGCTTGGTCCTGAAAATCAGCTTTGGAGAATAATATGCAATAAATAGATGAAAGATTTTAATATTGAGATTATGCAATATTATGAACTCTATGAATATGATATAAAAGTATGATTTGGGGCACAACCAAGCCCAGATTGAGAAGTTGGAAGTCCTATTGATGTGAATGATAAAGGCTTAAGCCTGCGTGAATCTCTCCAACTGAAGTTGGTGGGATTTTAAAGTGCTTAAATTTGGCAGGATTGTACCTTACATTTCCTGTACCCAGGGCCGGATTTAGGTTTGATGGGGCCCTAAACTACTGAAGGTAATGGGGCCCTTTATATGACCAGTTGTCCTTTGTCAACAACTAATTGTCGCTGTTTTTGTGTGTTGAATATATGCTATATGGTAATTTATGGACCTAATAGGTGTCTCAAGCCATTTGCACACGTTGCCATGCAACCAGTCCATGCAGAATGTAGGCACCCTATATATAGAAATGAGCAAACCAGTGATAGTTTAGAGAGCAGGCTAGCAGGCCATTACTTACATCATATGATCCTACACAACACAAAACACGGTTGTCGTATGTTGGTTTTATTTTATTTGTTTTTTATCTTATATTTTGGAAATATACATCCAGTTTTTTTCCTTTAATTTTTTTGGGGGGCTCCCAAGAGAGTGGGGCCCTATAGCTTGTTTAGCTTATACATAAATCTGGCACTGCCTGTACCCTATGAAGATGGATTGTTCTTTACCCCATATATGGAATGATGCATATAAATAGTTTAGAACTGTCTTTAGGCATGTTTTGTCACGTGGATTTATCTTAACTAGGCACAGTAGAAAGCACTCTGATACAAGCTTAAACATTTAACGACAGCAGAGAACAAATCAATGCGTATAAACATCTCTGTATATTTTTGACATTAAACCCCCCCAAACCTTTGTGAGATCAAATCTCTTGTGGCTCTTTTCCGCAGAAATGTGTACTTAACGAGGGTGAAATTCATAATCATGCAGAGACACAAACTGGGAGCCAACCTTGGAGCAACAAGCTCACCTTTTCTAAAATAAATAAAGCCCGAGAACAGAAAAAGGAAAGATTTGCAATGTGTGAACGCGACTTCAAAAGTTGAATCTGTTTAGGGAATTTGTATTTTCTGTTCCTATTTGCATTTTAAATAATTAAAACATTAAAACTGAAAAATTTATAAATGAGGGCTGCTAAGAGAATCCTGCTTGGCAGACAATAGAAAATAAATTATTACCCTGCTAGGTTTGCTTTAATGTCATATCCGTCACTCTCCCCAAGGTGGGTTTATTACCATACCAGGAGCCCCCCTGCCAATCCCTCCCCCCCCGCACTTTCACTCTCTGCTACTGAAGAAATCCAGGTCTCTGGGGGACTTTGATCTCATTGTGCAAACTAACCCAAACCAAACCTCTGCTGTTCTCAATATTTTTTTCCCCCTGTTAAAAAAATTGGGTGTGTTTGCAGGGGTGTGAATTCATGTGAAGAGTGACAGAACCCTTTGTCCGGCACAGCTTTGGCTGGTTGTAACAAGCGTCAAGACATTAGACACAACAAAAGCTGGATTGACAGTATCATCAATCACAGGACTGACAGTCGACTTCAGTTTGTTTGTTCCACTCTGCATAATAAGTGATTGGATCAGGTTTAATTAGAAATTGGGTAATCAATCATTGCCAACGAGGCAACTCAGCTTGGGATCTAGATGTTGCAATGGGGGAGGGAGGGGAAACTTCCCTCTAAAGGTGGGTAAATACACAAACGGGGAAGGTCTTCCGCTGACGCTTTGGAAGAGAGTATGAAGATGTCTACACAGTGGCACATCGTAGAGTCACTCGCATCTGTGCAATTTCCATTGGACATCTGCGTTTTGACATTTTACTTCCACTGCAGAAACACTTTGCAGGAGAATATAATGCATGAACCTGTGGGAGAAAGACAAAACAATTCAATTTATGTATGGAAGCCATTTAAACAAAATAAAAAGTCATCTTCTCCTCCTCCAAAAAAAGAAAAAAGAAAAGGAAAAAAGAAAGAAGAGCAGATGCTGCTGCCCTGATGAGTATTTAATAATAATAATATTTAACATTTGGATTTTTTAATTTCTCACATATACTATATCAGCTTTCCTGACAACAACAGACCCACAAAGTAGATGCGTGATATCATCTCCATCGTGTAGTGCCTACAAAGACTGATGGTTCGAAAGCACCTAATAAACCTCCCCTTAAGACATGGAGGGATTTTGTAGTAAAAAAAATGCAATCAATTTCACACCTAATGAGAGTTTGGGCAGATGTACACTAAACATTAGAAGCACGTTTGACATATGTTTAAAGCATGTGACTTCCCACAATGAATTCTGGGGCCTGTGGTTTGTTCAGGTTGCTGGAGATGGTAGCTCCAGGGTTGGATTCGATGGTTGTTTGAGGCAGCCACAATATATGGAGTGTAATAGGTAGATGGCGCAGCATCTACTGGGATGAGATGTGGTGAGGTGAGAGGGCAATGAGGTGGGAAGAGATCCCAGTGCTACCAACCTGGAGCTCTCAAAACCCCACACCAGGGGTGCCAACTTGAATAATTGATACATGATGGGGAACATGCACACCATTTGAATGGCAATGCCAATCAACTTTTGGGGGCCTATCGTCATCAAAAACTTTATTGGCTGGGAGGCAAAGTTCCCTCAGCCCCTAAGAATTGGCTCCTATGCCCCACACCACCTTGCCTTATTAAGGTAAACGGTGTTTCTCTGTGCTCTGGTTTCCATCACACTGTTCTGTTGTGCCAGAAGTGGTTTAGTCATGCTGGCCACATGACCCGGAAAGCTGTCTGTGGACAAACGCTTGCTCTCACAGCCTGAAAAGCGAGATGAGCACCGCCACCCCATATCCGCCTTTGACTGGACTTAAACTTCAAGGGGTCCTTTACCTTTTCACCTTTACCTATGAAGTGGGCTGAGAATTATTGGGAGATTCCTCGTGGAGTGACAATTCCCTGCATGTTTTATATTTGTGCTTCGAGCCCCCAAACCCATCCTGAAATAAAGACACAGTGGAGACAGTATTTAGTTTAAATGTTAATGGGCAAATTTTGGGCACAACTTTATTGAATACACAAATGTGACTGGTATTAGCTTAGACACTGGTATCAAACTATATCTGGCTCCTGCCCCACCCTGCAGGAAGCCTGGAAGGGTAAACAACCAGCAGGGGGATCTCCGTCAGTGTATATTGACTGGTGCTCACCCCTGGGGTTCCTGGGGGTCCTGGCATGGCCCTAGCCCCTGTCTGGGCTTCGGACGATATCCGGACCCCCAGATTCATTTAACGGAATACCCTATTCATTGGAGGGCAGGTGATGGCTGCACCTCCCCTCCCCACATTCCCCTAAACCAATGCCTAACTGCCAAACCTTACAAAGTTGTGACGATTGCTAAGAGGTAGGCAAAAACCAAGTGGCCATAGCCAATCTGCCACATTGGAAAAAATTCCTACCTGGCCCCCATTCCAAAACAGGTGACCAACCAAAGTCCAAAGCAAGGCCAAACACGACCTAATTAACGGGTGGGTGGGCGGGTGTTCAGCCATGCGAAGCAAAAGGAGGTCCCTACGTCGCGCTGCCAAATAGATATCCCCAACCCCCAACCTTGCCATGCTGCTGATTGGCTAAAGGCCATTGGCATAACTGTGGCACCACTGGCTTGGAGCAGGGCAAGCCCCGCCCACAAGCTGGTTAGGGAAGAATTTCAGGGCCGAGCACAACATGGACCCTCTGTTAGGAGGATCCAACTTCCCATAATTCTTTGGAGGAAGCCATGACTGTTAAAGTGGTATATGTATACTTTAAATGTATGACATAGATGTGTCCAGACCACAGGACACAAGCTATTTCAAAGGCCTGAATGAACAAACATGTGGTATCGCAAAGATGGTGCCAAGCAGGCTGTTGCATAATCAGAGCCACAACCATCAAGTCCCTCTTCTTGGTAAAGGTACAGGAATATGAGGAAAGAGACAGGGTGAAGGCAGAATATGTCACATTTTATGTGACATAAGTGATTTGAGAATACATCCATTACAGTCTTCTGAGGCATTTGTTTTCAAGATAGCATATGTGTGTTTAAAGGTAAAACCACACCTACCATATGCTTCAACACTTTCCACATGAACTGCATTAGGAGGATTTTGGGAATCAAATGACAGGACAGAATTTCAAACAAAATGCGCTCTCCCAAGCTCACATTCCCAGCATGTTCACGCTCCTGTCCCGGACATGTCTACACTGGCTTGGTCATGTCCAAAGAATGGAAGATGGTAGGCTCCCCAAGGACGTGCTCTACGGAGAACTGGCGATTTCCCCCCTACCTCAAAACTATAAAGGCTGCCAGTGCAGGAAAACGACACTTTTTGAAATTTGATAGGTTACAACCCCTGTAACAAGTCAAACATGCCTGCAAATTTTATCCACTTCTGCAAAAAAAACAAAAAAACAACAACCCTGCCCTGTAGGAATCCCTTGCAGACAAACACAGTGGCTGGAGACCAGGGTGGATTTGATTTAAATCAAATCGATTTAAATCACTAGTCAGTAAGACTTGATTTAAATCATTATTTTTTTTTACAGAAAGATTCATTCTTGCTGGTATAATCTTAATATTTACAACCAGATGAAGGTTTCATTTTTGGAATAATAAATTTTCAGAGTAGTTTTTATAGTTATATCAAGCATTACTGATTTGGTTATACTATACAGTGGTACCTCGGGTTACAGACGCTTCAGGTTACAGACGCTTCAGGTTACAGACTCCGCTAACCCAGAAATAGTGCTTCAGGTTAAGAACTTTGCTTCAGGGTGAGAACAGAAATCATGTGGCAGTGGCACGGTGGCAGCGGGAGGCCCCATTAGCTAAAGTGGTGCTTCAGCTTAAGAACAGTTTCAGGTTAAGAACGGACCTCCAGAACGAATTAAGTTCTTAACCCGAGGTACCACTGTATTAGAAATACATAGACAGACTATTACAAATAGAAACTGTTTCCCCCTAGTGGAAGCCTTTGAAACCGGTTGTTTTACAAGAGCTGGGCTAGGGGAATTTCCAGCTGCAAGTTAAAAATCGTGAGACTCTGGGGCTGACCTTGAATCTTTTAAGTGTTATGGTAAATGGAAGAGGAAAAACAGACCAGTCAACTGCTGACAAAACATTAAGGTCTGGGAGGACTTGGCAACAATCCAGAAGAGGTCCATCATCAGGCCCCCCTGCTCCTTCTGTTGCTGCCTTTGTATCAGTATATTTAAAACCAAGAGGAATGTCGACAGAAGAGGCTTTAGTGGTTGCATTATATAAGATAAATGACTCATTGGATCAGCTTAACAGGAAAATGGACACGATAAATGCGAAAGTGGATGTTTCAATTACTAAAATTAACCTAAATACAGAAAGTATAAATAATACCAATACAGAAACCACCCAGAAGTTGATACAGGAACCTACTTTGATATGGCAAACTGCGGAGGAAGCCAGGGAAAAAGCTGTTGTTGCTGAATGTAAAGTAACACAACTGGAGAGAAAGAGAAAGAGAGCCCCAGCCCTACAGAGGCAATTTGATGAACATAAGTTGACGCTTGCTATGACTGAACTTAAAGAAAAACAGACGAATTTGAAGATTAGAGTTCACCTTTGGTGGACATGCCCAAGGATTAAGACACTTTGGGAGATGATTCATAACGAAATGAAAAAGGTATTTAAATATACCCTTTTTGAAGAAACCAGAGGCCTTTTTCCTGGACATGGTCAGCCAATTGGTCTTAAAGAAGGATAGAACTTTTGTCACGTATGCAACAATAGCAGCAAGAATACTCATTGTGAAGTACTGGAAGACACAAGATTTATCTATTCGGGAAGAATGGCAGATGAAGTTGATGGACTATATGGAATTGGCGGAAACGACTGGCAGAAATTCGAGACCAGGGAGAAAAGTCGGTGGAAGAAGACTGGAAAAAGTTTAAGACTATTTATAGAAATACTGTAAAAATAATGAATGTAAGAAAAATGTTGGAATGAAGTTATATGGCTCTAGTAGAAATGCTATAAGGAATTAAGTATAAATAGATTAATAGAGCATTAAAGGGAAAAATAGGGTTAGAATATGTTAAGATAATTATAGGATAGAAAACAGAGGAAGATGGAAAGGAATTGCTGAAACAATTAACAGAAGTGGAATACAGAAAGGGAGGTGTGAGGAGGTCGTGGAAATAAGGGAATGAAAGATAAGATATTGAAATTGTTTTGTGTTTTAAATGGTTTGTGTCTTATTTTGTTATGCTTTTTTGTTTTTTTTCTGTTTTGTTGTGTTTAAACGGTTGAAAAATTAATAATAATAATAATAATAATAATAATTATTATTATTATTTTTAAAAAGAAATACATAGACAGATAATTATGAAATTATTGTGATGGTTAATAAGTTAACTGTTTATACTTTGGACAACTTTTCTGCTGTACTTTACTGAAAGGAGAAAAATAATCATTTCCTTAATAACAATGTAAACTATTTATTTAACTAAAACAATAACATTATAGCATATGTACTCATGTTTGTTAACTGATGTGGCTAAACGGTTTTAGACTGAGTTTTAGCACACATGAAAAACTTAATACAAATCCTTATTTCCTGATGAATAGCCTTTGGACTATAATGTAACTTAAATAGAAAACTATCTTTAGAAAGATTTTTCCTCCAAAAGCATTTTATTTTAAAAATCTGATTAAAAGAAAACCTGATTTAAATAAAAGAAAATCCGATTTAAATCAAAAAAATCTATTTTTTAATTTTTAATTTTTTTAAAAAAAATCATTGATTTTTATCTACCCTGCTGGAGACTGGCAGTGTATCCATAGCAGTGACCAGAGAAGAAATGGCCGCTGGGAGGAGCGCAGAAAGAAGAAATGCCATGATACATCTGCAGCGGCACAACTGGATGCCTTTATCTGCCTCAGCTGCAACAAAACATGTCTCTCCCGCATTGGTCTCTACAGCCACAGCAGGTGCTGCAAACTTCCAACAGCTTGACCTCACCCCCAAAGGTGTAATTCTCCATTGTCTCCCAAGTCAGACTGATGCCAGCAATGATAGGCAGAGTGAGGTGATCTCTTCAGGTAAGGATGGAGAGATCTCTCAATTTCACCTCTCTCAGTTTCTCATTCTTCCAATTTTAAACTGAGCTCTCCACACATCTGCAGCAATCTGCATTTTTTAAAAAAAATCCTCGTGAAAATGTGTCGCTGTTTTTGTGCAAATTTCTCCTGATAAACCCGTTTGGGTATCCGGTTTTGACTGATATACATTAAAGGCAATGGCCTTTAATATAGTGCATTATTATACATTAGTGCATTATTATACCTAGACAGCATCTTAAAAAGTAGAGACATCACTTTGCCAACAAAGGTCCATATAGTAAAAGCTATGGTTTTCCCAGTAGTGATGTATGGAAGTGAGAGCTGGACCATAAAGAAGGCTAATCGGTGAAGAATTGATGCTTTTGAATTATGGTGCTGGAGGAGACTCTTGAGAGTCCCATGGACTGCAAGAAGATCAAACCTATCCATTCTGAAGGAAATCAGCCCTGAGTGCTCACTGGAAGGACAGATCCTGAAGCTGAGACTCCAAGACTTTGGCCACCTCATGAGAAGAGAAGACTCCCTGGAAAAGACCCTGATGTTGGGAAAGATGGAGGGCACAAGGAGAAGGGGACGACAGAGGACGAGATGGTTGGACAGTGTTCTCGAAGCTACCAGCATGAGTTTGACCAAACTGCAGGAGGCAGTGGAAGACAGAAGTGCCTGGCATGCTCTGGTCCATGGGGTCACGAAGAGTCGGACACGACTAAAAGACTAAATAACAACAACATTATACATTATTTTCACCAATATATTCATCTCCCTGTACGCTTTCCTCTACTGTATGCATTTGTGTAAGCATGGGTTGGTTGGTGAGCAGCATGGCAACATTCAGATAAGTGTGAATTTCAAAGGGCGGCTGTCTTCTGGTTCGCATATTGCTCTGGAAAGTGCAAATTTGACAGATTCGCCTTTAAATGCAAACTGAATCACATTTCTGCCCCCGTCGCACTAGCCTGAGGCAAACGATTCTGGCTGTAATGAAAGGGCAGTACATCATTAGCTATTTGCTTTACTACTATAATATTTTTACGGCCGCGAAAAGGGAGAGGCACTGGTGGGATTTGCTGAATTAGGTGCTAAAATAACAACCTGCCTTGGGTACTGTGTATTTTGACGGTGGCGGCATTTGCTGCTCTGCCTCAGGTGGGAAAACAGCTTGAGCTGACTCTGGTTACATCTATCTTCACTCTAGAGAGATGCGAGTGAGGCCCTGAACGGCGAAAAGCTAAGCACCGAAGATGTGAGACTGAGGAACTGTGAGCGGGTACAAAACCCTCATGTAAACTGGCCTTAAGAAGTTGCATCAAGTTGGAAGGAATGAACAGGGAGAGAGACTGGCTGGAAGCCAGGCTGACTGAAGGCAGTCATGGACTTAAGGCAAGGATGGTTAGAGGCCTCATGGAGCTGAAGAAAGGAGGGACAAGGAACAGTTGTGGCTATGGATTCGTGTTTCCACTTGACCAGTAGAAACGAGCCTCAATTATGGAAGGGACAGTTTCTTATATTTCTTGGTTTTTAGCCCTTGCACAGATTTGAGTACATGAAGATCTCTGAGCAGCACAGATCAAGGGCAAGGACCTTTTCCCAGCCTGGGGTCCCCATTCTGTTGTGAGCAATAATCTAGGAGCTACATTCCTGTGGCCATGGTGAAAGCCGTCATGGCTAGAGGCAACAGAGGGTAGACAAATGGGTGCAATCCTTAATTTTGTACAGCAGGCTCCATTTCAGCCATCCAAAGTCAGATGGTTCGACACGCTTTATCTAGGGAAGCAAGAGGCACCACCACAGTAAAATATAACATCGCCAGATGTCAAATGTGGATATCAAGCACAGTTGTACCTTGGATCCCAAACGCCTTGGTACTCAGACGTTTTGGCTCCGGAATGCCGCAAACCTGGAAGTGAGTGTTCTAGTTTGCGAATGTTCTTTGGAACACAAACGTCCAACAGGGCTTCTGATTGGCTGCACGAGCTTCCTGCAGCCAATCAGAAGCCGCACTTGGGTTTTCGAACATTTTGGAAGTCGAATGGACTTCCAGAACGGATTCTGTTTGACTTCCAAGGTACGACTGTATCTGATTAATATTTCAGAGAATGGTGAATATTCAACATTTTTTAAAAACAACAACAACCCTGAAGATTTTGTTTTAACGTCAATTTATTTAATCTCTAACAGTTGCTTTATTGGGACCCAGCAACACTATACATTTAAAGCAGCAGCATTCCACATTAAACAGCCATGGCTCCCCCCCAAATAATTGTAGCCATTGTAGTTTGGTTGCTTATTTATTTAATTTCTATACCTCCCTTCATACAAGGATTAGGTAAAAGGTAAAGGATCCCTGACGGTTAAGTCCAGTCGCAGGTGACTCTGGGGTTGCGGTGCTCATCTCGCTTTACAGGCCGAGGGAGGTGGCGTTTGTCCACAGACAGTTTTTCCAGGTCATGTGGCCAGCATGACTAAGCAGCTTCTGGTGCAACGGAACACCGAATCCAGAGCAGCGCATGGACATGCTGTTTACTTTCCCGCAGGAGTGGTACCTATTTATCTACTTGCACTGTTTTTGGGCGTGCTTTCGAACTGCTAGGTTGGCAGGAGGTGGGACCAAGCAATGGGAGATGACCCACCGACCTTCTGATCGGGAAGCCCAAGAGGCTCAGTGGTTTAGACCACAGCGCCACCACACTTATTCCCAACAGAGAGCTACGATTCCAAGAGTGGTTTAACAATCAATCCCTCTTCCCAGGGAACTCTGGATATTGTAAATACAGAGCTGAGTAGCAACAGTTTAGCAGCTTTAACAAATCACAGCTCCCATGATTCTTTGGGGAAAACCATGGTTGTTAAAGTGGTATATACTGATTTAACTGTACAGTGGTACCTCGGGTTAAGAAGTTAATTCGTTCCGGAGGTCCGTTTGTAACCTGAAACTGTTCTTAACCTGAAGCACCACTAATGGGGCCTCCCGCTGCTGCCACGCCGCCGCTGCACGATTTCTGTTCTCATCCTGAAGCAAAGCTCTTAACCCGAGGTACTATTTCTGGGTTATCGGAGTCTGTAACATGAAGCGTTTGTAACCTGAAGCATCTGTAACCCGAGGTACCACTGTATTATGCAGAGGGGAGTTCAGTGTCCTTTGGTATAAATGTTTCAGACGTCTCTAGTCCATTTTGGCTAGGCATGTCATAGTATATCTTAGGGTAGAATAATGTTCCAGTCATTTATATTTATCTATTTTAGAGTGATACTTACAAATCCATGGATTTCTACATCATGGATGAATCATTTTGTACCTGAACCAGAAACATTTTGTCCTGTCGGTTTGCTGACTTTCACCAGATTCTCAGTTCAAATATAATTTCTGTTCCCTCTAGGCCATGCTGGTTAAGGGTTTCTCTTGGTGTCATCACAGCTCATTTTCTTTAATCCTGGATTAGCCTTGTTGCACTCTGCTACCTTTTCAAGTACTGTAATGACTCTCTCCCCTCCCCCCCAATACAGTTTGAGAAAAAGAACCTATTACCCATTTTGACCAAAGCAATTCTTAATCATAGTATACCCTCCACAAACATTACATGGGCCTATACAGGCAGAATGCTTTTTCTGCACCATCTTGACATTATTA